GCTAGTACAGCGGGCAGAGGTTGGAAGACCATCATGCAGAACATCCCTGCGTGCAAGGGCCAGTCCATGCCCGGGCACACTATCTCCTGCATGACTGAGAAGATGGATGAGATCAAGGTAAGCAGTACAGGGGGCAGGGGGTTGGAAGACAGATTATCAGTGTTATCACTTGCCATTGTCAATGACATTATTGTTATTATTACGATTACTGTTATTACTGTTGTTATTGATATTATTTATTGTTATTATTACTCCTTCATTAACATTTTGCTGGTGGTAGGATGAACGCTGTAGACAGTATCTTCTACGGCTCGAAGCCATTGTGTTCAGTGACTACCGTCTTGTGGAGAACATGATGAATGATTGCAAGGAGGAAATAGCCAACCACTCTTGTGGGCGTGTCCAGGTGTCCCAAGAGGGCACTCCGCATTCACAGGGCGATACCATTGAGTGTCTCTCCACTAAGGTGCTTGATCTGAGGCCAGCTTGCCGAAAACAGATTTTGAGGCAAGTGGGATGAATTCAAGAATTTGCTTTAGTCAACATTGAGTTTTTTGATGGGATACATTTAACCATTTTATATATAGATAATTTTTCTGAGGATATGAATAGGTAGTTTTTGTAATCATCGCTGTAATAATTAATGTTATTATATTCATGGTTAAAGTCTTGACGTTTAGTTTGGCTGTCCTTTTCTTTCTCTTTTCTCAAAGATGTATCATATCCACACTCTTTGAGCCCAAAGGTCATCATCTCTGGCTTTCATATCTTTTAGACTAGCTGAACTACAGGCGGACGACTTCCACCTTGACCGTGCACTCTTCTTTGCCTGCCGTGAGGACCGAGAGAAATTCTGTGAGAAGACTCGGGCGGGCGAGGGACGTGTCTACAAGTGCCTCATGAAGCACAAGATGGAGAGAGGAATGAGCAAAGAGGTAAGGAGGCAAGTGCCTTCATGAATCCCATGTTTATATGTGTTTGTATGTATGTATGTATGTATGTATATATGTATGTATATATACATACATGTATGTATAGATGTATAGATGTATGATAACATTGTACTATGCTTGTATGTCATATGTATACATGTGTATATGTATATATGAACATATGTACATATGTACATATATGTAGTAAATTTCAAGTACATTGAAGTTATGGATGTATTTATTTTACATTTTAAAAAAAGTACCATTGGTTCCCAAGATGTGGGCCATGTAGTAGAATTTAGGGAGCTATGAGGATATGTATATGTAAAACCAAGAGAGTTTAGCGGGTAGGCAGCCAGACACAGCTGTTTTTTGTCTGTGTAATTACAGTTTTTGATTTTGTGTTTTTGACATAAAACAAGACCCTGAAACATATGAGGATAGTAAATGATTTAATCTTATCATAATTCTAAGGTTTCCTTAGCTATGTTTTATTATTATGGTTTGTTTATTTTTGAAACAGCTTTTTGCAATAATGCTGTTTTTTATTTCTCTAAGTATGGACATTTTTTTTATGTGCATTATGATACTGCATTACTGCCATATCAATAATTATATGAGATTCAACAAAAGCAAACTACAAATTTCTTTGTTATTACTTACCAAAAGAAAAAATAACCAATGGTATCAATAAAAAAGGGTTTAGCTAAAGTGGTTTTTATATGGACCTAATGGGTGTAGGACTCTAGACACTGCAGTCATGGGTTGTGCTTGGCAGTGGGCCATGGACATGGATTTTGTGTGAAAGGTGGGTAATGACTGTAAAAAGTTTTTGAACCATTACTCAAAATGCATGCACTGGTTTGTGATCAGTACATGTAATATGCTGGAAAAATAATTTGTAAAATATAATGCTTTGTGACTGGGGCGGATGTTTGGTAGAAAAATCGCTGATAATACTTAATTGCATCCCCTGTCCCCTCCCCCAGTGTGTGGAGCAAATGACCCGGAGGCAGAAGCTAATGGTGCGGGACTACCAGGTAAGCCGGGGCTTGGTCAGGGCCTGTCGCTCAGCCATCTCAGAGAATCAGTGCCGCCGTGGCCTCGGAGACCAGAACCATGACGTGAAGCTTTCTCATATCTTGCTCTGTCTGGAAGATGCTGAGAAAAAAGGTATATTGAAGATGGGATTTATGGAGTTGGTCATTTTGAATGTATAT